TCTTTCTTTCTTTCTTTCTTTCTTTTTTTTTTTTTTTTCAGAACCAGGGATTGAACTCAGGCCCTTGCACTTGCCAGGCAAATGCTTATATTACTGAGCCATCTCCCCCCAAACCCCCAAGGTAATTTTCTAGCTGAGGATGAGATAATAATTTCAAAGTCTGCTACCTATGGGCTGGAAGAAAAGGAAAGAGAAGGGCAGCTAGTAGTGTATACCTCTGCAGGGGAAGCCCCAAACAGAGTGGATGATGACACCGGAAGAGGGGAGCAGAGGCCCATGGCTGTGGATATTCCAGCTTCTGCAGAGCAGGAAGGCTGAACTTGCTTCTCAGACACTTTCTTCTTCTTGGCTGTCTTTTCATTGTTTGTGCTTTTTCGTTTCTGAAAGCAGTGCAATTTTCAGAGTATGATAGTCATTATTGGGTAGCCTGTACATTAAGCCTAAAAGTGTTTCTCTTAAAATTGTGAGAAAGTGTTGCCCATTGCCTGGTCAGGTATAAGATAGGGGCACATATGGTGCCATTAAGTAAAAGGAGAGAAAAAGTTATACAGATAATTCCTCTTCTTGCCTCTGTGGTGGGATGTGACTGATTTGGAATTACAGAACACAAAAACTCAGATTTAATATACATGAGCAAATTTTTTTTCTGCCCAGTTCTCAAGTTAACATGCTTGTCTAGTATTTCATGCCATGTAATCAATTATTATGCAGTCTAGTAAATCTAAATCCTTATAGGAAACTAATGTCAAGTAACTAATGGATGGGAAGATAGAGGGGAAGAGCTATTTCAGAGATTCTGCTGTGGGGCTTCAAGCCCACTAGCCCTTCATGCTTCATAATCTTGAGGTCACCTGAGCTTTAGGAGTATCCTCCACTGTGCTGCTAGTTGAGGTCGGCATTGCAGAAGCTTCCTTTTTTTTATTCTTCTTTTTTGCTGAACTTTTCCCTTTTGCTGGAGTGGATTTACTTCTCCTCACAACGAATATATAAAAAAAGAACACATCATGAACTCAGAGCAAATGGCCTAGCACAGGGGAGTAGCTTCAGCATTATTTATGCTGGTTCTAGCTTATGGGTCTAGGTTGTCCATGTTTACCACCACTGCATTAGTTTGTACTGGCACCAGGAGGTTTACAGTCACAAAACAAGTATTGTCACATGTTCCTTGGTACTTTTCTTTCCCTTTCTTTTTCTTTCTTAGTTTCTTTTTTTTTTTGTTTTTGTTTTTGTTTTTTTTTTTTTTTTCTTAATTTATGTATTTGGTACAGGGTCCCACTATACACCTCCGACTTGTAGTGATCCTCTTGTTTTCAGCCTACCCTGCACTGGGATTACAGGCATGTGCCACCACTCCTGCCCCGGGGGCAGGACTGGGGCTACGTGTGGGACCAGGGATTGAAACCTGGTCCCTGCACTTGCCAAAGCAGGTGCTTATTCTGCTGAACTATCTCATCAGCCCAGTGCTTTTCTTTCTTGTCCTATATGCAAAGAAGAAAGTGTCCTCAATCCCTGAATCTCATGTATCTTAGTCAAATCTTTTTTGAGTCTTGTGCACCTATCATTTCCCTTTAAATTCTAAGGCTTTCATGAGAGTGAACTGATGTTTTCTGTATAATATATTGAAGTTACAGAGATAGTAAAAGCACAATAATAGAGAGTGTGAAGTAAGATACATGATTGTGGAGTTTGATGTTTTTAAATCCTCCTTTAAGAAATTCCAATATTTTTACAAAATAGGATGTTCTTCCAGTTTCACTGATACTGCTTTAGAAAAAACAACTGCCCTAAATTTATTGTTAGGAAGTCTAATGATGATAATGTTGTCTTCATAGAAGTGAAAAATTAATTAATGGATAAATTGAAAATATACACCAAACTTTTATAGTTTTATATGCTACTTTGTAGCCTTCCTATGGCTTTGAAAACCTAATCATTGATCAAATTATTTTATCCAAAGCTGATATATGAAATATAATAATCCAGTGGAAAGGGAATGTCCAAAGTTGTCAGTTTGTTGGGGTGTGATGTGCACACATAGGCATGGCCACTGAGATATAATTGAGAATGAAATGGTTCCACCATGACTAATTTGGGGAGGTTTCAGAGAAGGTAGGATAGTGTTGGGGAAAGAGTGCTCTGTCTCCTGTTACCTTTTAACATCTCTTTCTTAAGATTTTCAGAACATTGCTCAAGTCCTGGCATTTCTCCAAACACTTCTATCAGTCTGTTCAGTCCGGCATCATTGGGGAACAGCTCTTCCATCAGGTCGGCAATTTGGATTTTGTCGTAGTCGTCTTGCATTTTTTTGGTCAGTTTTAATTCAGAAGCCATTAAAGACTTAAACATGCTGAAATGATAGTTACTGATACGCTCTAGCCCTTTCAGCAGAACAAGTATTTTGTACTCATTGACCATCTTTGAAGAGAAGGGGGAGCCTACAAGAGAAAATCAGCGTGCAGCGTTACACATGCACATACAAATGCTTACAAAATGAGGCATGGCTGTGTTAGTGAATGACTCACGTCAAAGCGCTAAATGCGGGTACGAGCCTGACTCCTCTTCATTTTGCAGTGGATCCGCCTGCTGATTCCCACCTTCCCCACTCACTATGGCTAAGTGCCTCGTGGAAAGTGGGCTGCAGTTTTTCAGCTTAAATGTGCATAACTTCTTTCCATGGCACTACAGCTCCATGTTGGGGTACTAATCCTCAACAACTTCGCTCTTCTATGAGAGCTTATGTCTAGCTTACGTACTTATGTACTCAGTGCAACTATAACTATTCCTTTGCAGGACTTCTACCTATTCCCTATGTCAGGGTCATATAATTTGTTGACTGTTATATTTAAAATAATTTATTGGACTGGGAATTTAGCTCAGTGGCCCAGTACCTGCCTGGAAAGCATAGGATTGTGAATTCAACTCCCAATACAAAAATAAATAATCCATTTTGTATTTAAAATAATTTTTCTACTTTTCTTGTGCATGGCTTAATTTTTCGTACCAGTTGCTTTCAAGAGCAATCCACTTATCTATAATTCCTATTTCTAGGCTGCATTGACTAGTTCCTCATTTTATTTAGGAAAAAAATGTTATTTAGCCTATCACAGTAACCTTACATAATCACTTTACATTTACTACTCATCTGCCATTTCACATGCAGGAGCTCCAAAGCTATCTAGTCTAACTCCCCTTTGCCTGCTTCTGCACTGAGTGTGCTTACTGTACTTCTTGGGCAGTAGAGTTTGAGAATGTATTGCATTCATGAAGCAACCAAGTTTGGTGGGTACAGTGTTATTACTTAACATGAGGAATAGCTTCAGTGTTTAGTGACAAAACATTAGCTAGATAGTACAGGAAAGAAAGAAATTAAACACAGTTAACCAAGAAAAGATAAAAAGTTAAAACTGATACTATTCAAAGAACAATAATCAGCTGTAACAAAACTATATTTTCAAAAGTTGTACAGCTTTGAAAAAGTAGAAACATACTAACTAGCAATAGAAAATCTGAATAGAGTAACAAGTTAGATTGAATTAATAAAAAAAACCCATAAAAGTAAATCTCACCTCTAATGATTCACTCATGAATTCTATGTAATATCTCAGAATAAATTAGTGCCAATCCTTTTAAAACTCTTCCAAAAATTTAAAAACCTATAACACTTTTAAACAAAGTTTACAAGATCCAAATCACCCTAAATATCATAATCATGCAAAATTACTACAATAGAAAGCAACAGACCCATATCTCTGATGAACATAGATGTAAACATCCCCAAATAAATAATATTAAACTGAATTCAATCACTCATGGAAAGGATTATATCTCAAGAATCATGTGATTTAAGGATAACTCAAAATATGCAAATCAATTAATGTGATACATTGTGTTAACAGAATACAGGACAATAACATGATCTCAACAGATGCAGAAAAGTTATAAAAAATGTAGCATCTTTCATCATAGAAGTCTCTCAATAAACTAAACGTAGAAGATATATGCCTAACAGAATAAAAGCTACACTTTATGATCCTGTATCACATTCAGCAGTGCCAAGCTGAAAGTTTCTCCTGTAATATCAGGAGCAAGACAAGAATGCTCACAATTAGCCACTTCTGGTAAAAATATTATGAGAAGTCCTAAACAGGTAAATTAGTAAGAAAGTGAAATAATAATATACAGAAATTTGAAAAGAAGGATTGTGTATATTGGCAGATGGCATGATCTTATATGTAGAAAGTGTGGACCACTCCACCAAAAACTGCTAGAATAAATTAGTTCATTAAATTTATAGGCTAGAAAACTCAGCAAAAACTCAATCACATATCTGATAGTAAGCCACTTTACATTGAAAACAAACTGAAAAAGAATAGAAGAAAAAATTCTATTTTTAATAGCAACAAAAGAAAAATAGAATAAATGTAATCATGAATGTTGGGTTTTTCAGCGATAACAGATCTGTTCTTCAAACACTATAAAATATTGGTGCAAAAAATTATAGTTCCTCCCCCCCAATATATTGTCTGTTTTTATTTCTTAAAGAGAAAAAAATAATTTTAGAAAAACCATAAGAGGGGCCAGGGAGATGGCTTAGTAGAATAAGCGCTTCCTTGGCAGGCGCAAGCATCTGAGTTCAATCCTTGGTTCCGCCAAAAAAAACAAAACAAAACAAAAAAAAAACCCATAGAAATGATATAAAATTCCAATAGGCACAACAATAAGAATTCAACAATGGTCATTACATGGCATATTTTCTTCAAATTACTTGTTCAGCTAAAAAATAAATTGTAATTTCAAGTAAATGGAAAGATATTTCATAGTCATAGCTCAGGTCAAATCACATATTAAGGAGTATTATCTACAAATTTAGTGAAATATTTATCAAAATAGTCCAATGTCATTTCTTCCCAAATTAAAAAAGTAAACAGAAAATGTGTTAGCTCACACAGTATTTAGCAAAATCAAAGCTAGAGTCCTTGCAGTTCCTGCTTTCATGTTTACCACAAATTAAGAGTTATCAAAAGAGTACAATTTTTTTGGCACTAAAAACAGACATATTGACTAAGAGGACAAAATAGTTGACACACAGAAATAAGCCCACCAATCTACCAATACGTAGACAAATTTTAAATGAAATCAACAGAAATACACAAAACTTAAAGGACAGGTATATCAATAAATGGTGTTAGCCAAGTTAAACAACCACATGTAAAAGAGAATGAAAATTTTCTTTTCTTTTGAATATATAAAAATTATTTCAAATAAGTTCAATATTAGCATAACTCCTAAAACTGATAAACTGCTAGAGGAAAATGGGAGGAGGGAAGGGAATTTTTTGACATTGATCTCAGAAATATTTCATATTTGATACCAAAACCACAAGCAAGAAAAACAAAAAAGTAAAGTAACATTAAACTAATTTTTTGCCCATTAAAAAAAAAACAAAATGGGAGGCTGGGGAGACAACTCAGTAGAATAAGTACTTGCCTGGCAAGCACAGGGTCCTGAGTTCAATCCTTGGTGTCAAAAAAAAAAAAAAAAAAAAAAAAAAAAAAAAAAAAAAGGAAAGGTACCTACCACATTGAAGAAAATATTTGTGAACTATCTATCCAAAAAGGGATCAATACCCAAAGCATATTAGGAAATCAAGCAGCTCAATAGTTTTAAAACTAAGAACCTAATTTAATACATATTTGAAAATGACTTGAAAAGACAGTTTTCTCTAAAGACATACAAATAGGCAATAACATATGTCAATGTATGTTCCATATCACAATGATCAGACATACCAAAGCCACAACAAAAGACATTACTTCTTTCTTATAGAAAAGCTTTTGTCAAAAAAATAAAAGACAACAAATACTACCAAGGATGTGGAAAAAAAGAAAATCCTTACATTCTGAAGTGAGAATAAATTGATAGAATCAGTACAATATTTTCTAAATAAAAATGAAAGAAACATTCGTCTACCTTTTGTGTATATTTTCAAAGGGATTGAAGCCAGAACCTTAATTATTGTAGGTTATTGCAGGTTGCAAAAAAAAAAAAGTTTTCTGATTGTCCAAATATATCTTATGTGTCTCTTCTACCTGGTGTAGTATGTAGCTAAGGTAAAATTAAATATTCAGTTTTCTTTATTTTAAAGAGAATAAAAATAATTTTAGAAAACATTGTAAATGATAAAGAATTTCCAAAAACTAGATGATAGGAACTCAACAATGCAAATTGCATATTGTTGTCTTCAAAGTAGCTGTTTAGATTATAATATAAGCATGTAAAATTAGCATCAAAAAATCTTAAGCATTAACTGTTCCTGTCAACAAACCAATACAAATTAAATATTCTTATAATAAAAATATTTATATATCATGCATTTGAAACAAGATTTTTTACTGTGTGCTTGTTCTCACATTTAGTAAAGTTAGAATAATACACAAAGCAATTTAGGTGCTTTTTATTAAAGTTTGTTTCAGAATACTTTCAGAATATTTTTCTCATGTGACTCACTTGTCTTTTACCCATTCCTCCACTGAAGCCACCACTCTCCAGCCAAGATAAACAAGATTATCTTCTAAATATCACTTATGCTAACACAGAAAATTTTTTTTTACAATCTGCAGGAGCCAAGTTGTACTTTCCTTTTCTCAGGTATCAGTTGCTTCAGAATAAAGCTATGTGTTATCTTCTTATATGAAGGATCAGAATGAAACTACTTCCAGTCCCACTATTTTGAATGCAGCTGGTGTCAGCTGTACTTGTATCAGCTAGACTCCTGTCAGAAGAAACACTAATATCTCTGACTTATGCATTTGAAGGACTGGATGTTTTCTACCAAAAGTACTCATAGGACTCACCTCTTTTGGAATTTCTTCAGTAGTAGTCCAGATCTTAAGATCTCCAGCAAAGTAGGAAACAGGAGAAGGATAAAGCAGTAAAACTGACAGACACTAAGCAGCAAGATGCTTAGTAAGTTGAAATGCTAAGAAAATGGAATGTCTCCAAAGACAATGAGATAAAAGAATACAGTGTACAGCTACTTAAACTTGAGCAATGATGGTTATTTCACACTGTTCTTGGTCCACAGAAAAAGAAGAGAGGAAACAGTGTGAGACTCCTCCCTTCAATGGTTTAGGTTTCATTTTCCCAAATCGTAGAACCAGAAACTATCTTCTAACATCTTAGCACAAAAACATGTGCACAATTACATTTTCTTTTCAAAAATATTTTTAGATGAAAGAGTATCAGCTTTTGAACTTTCTAATACATGCGAGTAATGTGAGGTTTATTAGAGCCAAAAAGAATCACTTACATGAGACTAAAATATTAAATGGGAAAAAGAGTGTCCAAGTCTCCTGTTTTCTCCTTCCTGCTATATAAAGTAGAAATTGCAGCATGAAATTTCTTAAAAAATATTTTAATTGAGAACCAAATAGCAATAAGACAGTTTCACAACTGATTAATAGCACATTTTCAATAATAAATACATTCCATATTGTTATCTTAGTGGTTATTGTACAAGATGCAGACCTGATATCCTGTCTCAAACACTATTAGAAGAAAGAGCCATATAGCTATCCTAACTATTTTGAGTATACAGACAAAATGGTCATTCATTTGTATCTCCCTTTCTGTCTTAGTTTTGTCAGAGAAGGACATTCGATTGACATTTAAATACTGTAAGTACATGAATTTAGCAAAATATCCCAATATATCCCAATAGTTCATTATAGTAGTGGGTTTTCCATAAGACTTTCAATGTCTAAAGTTCTTGACTTGAGTCTTTTGCACCTCATCATATTAATATGGCTTTAAAAGATCCAGTCTTAGCCCAGGCCCGGTGAGTGTATGGGAGAGCATCCAGCTACCCTGCAATGGCGGGACCTGCAGGTCCAAACCCAGGTGCAGCATAGGTGAGACGCTTTTCAACCCTCTTGGGATCCCCACCAGCACTCTGTAGCACCCATCCATCCTGCCTGCCAAGTGAGAATTTCTGCCACGTTCTGGGGACCCTTAGATCCAGCACTAGCCAAGGCCCAGTGAGTGTGTGGAAGAGCTTACTCTTCTCCCTACCCCACCTTGTCCCCTCCTGACTCAGCTCAGGCCTGGACTACAGGCCTGGGGTGAAACACTGCAGCTGCAATCCCTGGAAAAAGTGTAGGGGACAAAGCCACCCAGCTAGTCCAGGGGCAGAACATCTTGCCAGAGGGGCACAACAGGTTCAATCCAAAGGGCAGCAACAGGAAGGAACTGAGCACAGCAGCCAGACCCAAGCAAGGCAGAGCAGGATAAATACAAATTCTGAACATCTGCACCTGAATTTCAGTAGGTGCTAAGGTTATAACTGCACCAAAGCTCTGCAACAAAGGTCAGAAGACAGTGCTACACAATATGTCGAGAAGGAGCAAAATAAATCTCAGACCTCAAGCCCACCCATAACAAGTGCAGAGGACACTAACACAGAACAAATTGATAATCACACAGCTGAAATCAAAGAATCAACAGCTTTTGAAATGAAGTAACAACTGCAGAAAGATATAAAGGAACTCAGATTGGAAATGAAAAGAGAAATCCCTGAATTAATAGTACCTGCATTAGAGAATCAAATGCAGAAACGTATGGAGGAAAACCAGTGCCCACCCAGAAAAAGTGCAGAGGACACTACTTCAGCTGAAATGTATGAATTAATAGTGTTGATAGTAAATAAACATCAGCAGAAAGATATAGAGGAACTCATAGCTGAATTCTTTTCTACTAGCTCAGCTGAAATGCATGAATTAATAGTGTCATAGTAAATAAGCAACAGTAGAAAGTTATAGAGGAACTCAGTGGAATTCTTTTCTGAAATAAAAAAAAAGAATTATCTGAACTCATAGAATCTGAAGTAAAGAATCAACTACAGAAACATAGGGAGGAAAACCAATCTGAAGAAACACTGCTGTAAAAGAATTAATGACTGGTTCTAAAGAAGACATTGATAAAAAAAATAGAGGAGATTAGAAAAATGATGGATTGCATGAATGAGCAATACAGGAAAGAAATAGACTGCATGAAGCAGAGTCAAAGAGATATACAGAAACTTAAAATCTCAGTCACAAGTTTGCAAAATCATTTAAGTGAAAGTGAAGACAGAGTTTCAGATCTTGAAGACTCTGGTACAACTAGTGAAAAGGTGAGAAGGGACCTCTTAAAAACAACTAGGATGCAGGAAAAAATAATTCATCATCTGCAAGATGATGCAAAGATGAACAATGTGACACTAATAGGTATAAATGAGAAAGAAGAAGTTAATACAAAGGACATTAAAAAAATATGGACAGAAGTAATAGCAGAAAACTTCCCAAATATGAGGAAACAATCCGACATTCAGGTAACCGAAGCATACAGAATGCCAAGTAAATGGCATTTTGTATTATTAACCTCAACTCAATTAAAAACACACCGAGACATACAATAGTCAAGATCCCAGAAATTCAGCTCAAGAACAATATACTGAAAGCCACTAGAGAAAAGAAGCAGATCACATACAAAGGAAAACCCATCAGAATTACAGCTGACTTCTCTTCATAACCATGAAGGCAAGAAGAGCATGGAGCAGAGTACTTCAAGTCCTCTATGAAAACAAATTTCAGCCCAGACTACTATACCCTGCAAGACTCTCTTTCAAGTTTGATGGAAAAGTGAAATACTTCTATGACAAAGAACTAAAGAATTTCATGATGACAAAGACAACTCTACACAGGCTCCTGAAAGATGTTCCAGAGAGGGGCTAAAATGACCAGAAATCCATGAATGCGATCAGAAGCAACCAACTAAATAGGGCAAGCAATTAAACACAGGAGAAAAAGCAGTAAATGACAACAGGTAAAAAACATGTCAATCGTAAGTCAATATTTCTCAATTATAACCATCAATGCAAATGGACTTAATTCACCAATTAAGAGAAATAGACTGGCACAGTGGATTAGGAAACAAAACATAACAATATGCTATATACAAGAAACACATTTAACTCATAAAGACATACAGAGGTTGAAAGTCAAAGGATGGAAAACAATACAACATGCCCCACCACCTCAGAAAAAAAATGCAGGGGTAGCAATCCTATTGTGCGACAGTCTCAACTTCAAGCCAAGAATGATCAAGTGAAATAAAGAAGGCCACTATATACTGGTTAAAAATTCAAGAGGAAGAGGTAAAACTCATAAATATATATGCACCAAACATGGGAACACCCAACTATCTAAACCAAATCTTAATAGACATGAAAGATCTAATATCCAACACCACAATCTTAACAGGAGACCTTAACACTCCTTTATCGCAAAAAGATAGTTCAACCAGACAAAAACTAAGCAAAGAAATAACAGAACTGAACCAGAGCTTGAAACAAATGGACTTGGTGGACATACAGAGTGTTCCACCCAAACACATCTGAATACACATTTTTCTCAGCTGCACATGGGTCATTTTCTAAAATGGACCACATACTGATCCATAGGTTATGCTTAAGTATATGCAAGAAAACAGTGCAATGAAACTGGAAATAAATGACAAAAGAAACCAGAAAAACACCCTAAATACTTGGAAATTAAACAACACCTTATTCAGCAACCAATAGGCCACAGATAAAATTGAACAAGAAATTCTACAATACAATGAAAACTCAAGCACAACTTATTGGAATTTATGGGATAAGATGAAAGCAGTTCTCAGAGGAAAATTCATAGCTGTAAACTTACACATTAACAAAACAGAATGGAAACAAATAAACAGCTTAATGGTGCACCTTCAAAAACTAGAAAAGAATCACTAGCCATCTGTGAAATACAAATTAAAGCAACATTGAGATATCTCACCCAGAAAGAATGGCTATCTTAAAGAAATCAATCAAGAACAAATGTTGGAGAGACTGTGGGGAAAAAGGAACCCTTCTCCACTGCTGGTGGGAATGTACACTGGGGCAACCTTTATGGAAATCAGTGTGGAGACTCCTTAGAAAAATTGGACTGGAAATCCCATTTAATCCAGTTATTCCTTTACTGGGAATCTTCCTGGAGTATCTGAAAATATCATATCATAGTGATATATGTGTGCCTATGTTTATAGTAGCACAATTTGTGATAGCCAAATCTTGGAAACAACCAAGATGCCCATCACCTGAGGAATGGATGAAAAAGATGTGGCATTTTTATGCTATAAAGAATGATAAATGCGAACCCTTCATATTGAAGTGGATGTCACTTGAAAATATATTCATATGTGAAATAAACCAGACACACATCTGTAAAAATCATAGTTTCCCTAGTATAAGAACTCAAAAGAAGAAATACAAATAGAAAGATATAATAAAACTAAAAGGAAAGCAATAACTTGAGGACTAGACAATGAAAAGAGAGAAAGGAGAAGAGCTAGGAAACATGACAGGGGCAAGCCATACTGTTATAGGTAGAAGATGGTTAAGGCAATGATCCTGAGAATCTTCAGAAGATTTTTGAATAAAGCAGTTAATTGGAATGATTCTCACCCTGACTAACTATATATACTGACACCTGTGAACTAAGCAACTGCACTGAAGATGCAATTTATAATAGTAGGTTCATGCTAGAAGTACATGTCATTCTGGTCTTCTGAATATGTCCTGCTTGTCATGACAGGCCAGTTGGTGCTGTGCTATCTCCTGGGTAGATGATTTTTCAAAAAGAAGGGGGTGGTGAAAGAAGGCAGGAAACAGGAAAAAGAATGTTGCGGGACTGTCCTGCTTCTAGGTTGTGTATGGTTAGATTTCTGGACTTATGTGTAAAAATAAGAAGTTTATAATTATTTATGCTTATTTTTAAAAATATATTTTAATTTTTAAAATGTTTTTTTATCATCATATTCTGTAGGGACTTAAAGTTCCACATATCAATACTTTATGAAAATACCTGTTCCATGTTATGCCTAAGATGTTTGGTATTCAAACAGATAGTGAGGTTAAGCTTAACAGCCTACATCGTTTGGCAATAACAATAAGCTTGTCTTCTGGAGGGTTAACAACCTAAGTTTGCAGACCAAAAT